GCTAGCCAAACTTAACCTCTTACCTCACCAACTCCTCAGCCTGGAAAAGGGGCGGGGGTGAACTCCTGTTTCCTTCTGTCTTATATTCCTTTCTCTGCCCAGCCATATCTCTTCCTGTCTCCGCCTGCCTAGTGCTGAGATTAAAGCTGCGTGCCTCCCAAGTACTCGGATCAAAGGCAGGAGATCCCAAGTGCTGGGATTAAAGGCATGTGCCACCACTGCCTGTCCTCTACGGTTAACTAGTGGCTAGCTCCACACTCTGATCTCCAGGCAAACTTTATTTGTTAGAGCACAAGCAAAATATTACTACATAACCTTATTTCATTAAGTTGTGGTTATGATTAAAGCAAGTAATATATTTGAAATATTTAACATCATAATACTATTTGTGACATCATTACTTTATAAGCCAGTGGCTGCATTCTGTTTTTATTGTATTGCCTTATGTTCAGAAAATCTGGTAACTGGAAAATCCAATTTACAAAGATATGAAGTAAAGAGGTCACAAAAGTCACAGCTTTTGTGAAGGGTGGGATTATTAAAGTTCAAATCGGAATTTATTTTACAAGTAACACATTCACCCATTAATACTTTTGTCTTGAGAGAGCTTTTTCCTCCTGACTCACATCATAACTACAGAGATTAAGTAACAAATACTCTGGAAACGAGAACCAGCTGTGTCTGAGTAAGCAAACGAAAAGCACAATCTCATTCTGAACCTAATCCAAACTCCTAAATTATGAGTTTGGATAGCAGTAGAAATTATTAGGATATAACTGTAAAAATAAAATCACAAGCTCTATTATTTTTATAACGAAACAGCATAGGATCCCGAATAAGCAATCTGTATATCAGACCCAGCTATAAAATCTACCTGACAATGTCAATAATAAAACCCTTCCACATTTAGAAGCTCTATCCTAAAGCTGCACAAAAGCATCGTCTATTTTTAGACATGTCTATCCCCAAATCCTATTAAAGTATATTTCAAAGGTTTCTTATTTTTTTAGTGGTTTCTCTAAATTGATCCTCAAGCCCCTTCCAGCTTTTCAAATATATATATATATATATATATATATATATATAT